ATACTTTTGCTCAAAATTGGTGGGGGCCTCAAAAGCCCTTTCCTCCCTCGGTCTGCATAGGATTAAGGAAGATGGGCTGTTTTTCGTCCAGTCACGCAGGACAAAATATCTAGGTAATTTTGGCTTCATCAATCCGTTTTAAATATATGTTTTGCCCAAAACTTTGGATAATGATCAAATCATTTGACTGCAATAACTATCGCTGCACCAATATATATTTTATTTTAGAAATGCTTTTGTTGGTGCATGTCTTAAGTTCATATACATTTCATAGCCTTTGTGAATTCGTAATTGCTCAACTGTAATATCAGGTAACAGTAGCCTTTTTAACTATAGCTTTTTTTCAGCAAACTGGCTCAGGTATCATTTTTAGGTTAGTTAAAATAACAAAATCTCGTTATGTTAAACGAAATAAATAAAGCCAACACTCTTGCATATTAATGGCACTTTGCCTTCAAAAATCTGCAGATAACACGAACCTTCACAGCTGCGGTTGAACGAAGTAGTTGTTTATCGGGGTATCAACCCCTGGGAAGGAGAAACGAAGGGAGGTGGGGGATGAAGGGAAACAAATGAAAATGGGTAGTATGTGATCTAGGAGGGTAGGAAGATAGTAGTGACTATACTATACGTCAAATCCCGTTAGGCTCTGTTACTTAATCAATGAAGGGTTCCAAATTTCAACTGAAGGAAACTATCACTTGGAAGGTAATTTCCAGGGGTACGATAGACTAAACCAAACAGCCATGTACCAACACTTTAAACCCCACATACATCCGATTAAATTATGCCAAAGCAGTCTCAGAATCCTTTTACAAGCGAACAAAGAGGATTGATTTAATTGATTGTAATGTATAGGAAGTTCCCTATGCTCGGGTACCTGACAAAGTTTACTATTTGCTAGGAACAACGTTTCAGGGAATGAAGTTTAAAAGATACTTAAAACTCGTGTAAAAGCGTAATGATTACCTGCGCTTAATCAGGGTTCCTTTCTACCTGGCAATTTACTAGTTATATCTTCAGCACTATTTACCCCCCGAAAAAACAAAATTACCATCTAGCATTCAATTCAGACATTACAAAACAAAAGTTATTCTTGGGATGTACTGTTACAATTTTTGTTACTGTATATTGATCCATTTTGGAGCATTGCGAAGCATGATTTTTTAAGTACGACAAGTTGACTGTACGAAATGCTTAAATGCATAGGATGAACACACTTCGTGTTCATGTAACGGACTACCGTGAGGAAACTCAATTGCGAACAGAAAGTTTGCTCCAAGACATGAATTATAGCGAATGACAAGTTCATGATCAAAGAAAAGAACAGCGCTGCGGAAATAGCACAAACCAGATATTTAATCGCCTTCCATTCTAGGAGCAAAGCTTTATAGTCTTTTACAGTGCTTACACAAGCTTCTATGAAATCTTACAACTTTCCAAAGTGTAACATTAAGGAATGGAAAGTCAAGAAACAGAGTCAAGTTCGTTACTTGTAGGGGCGGGGTAAGGGTCGCCAGCCACCACCACCACCACCACGTCGACGAGAGGATCGTCGGTAACAGATGCAATGACGGTTACGTTTGCGACGGTAGCTTGAATCTTTGAGGAAAGCTATATCAGAATGACCATCTTCAGCGTTACTCTCATTGACATCTTCTTTATTTTCATCATAACTATGAGATACCATAAAATAGTTAAGTTATACAAAGAATGAAACCTGTCAAAAATGGATATGTTATTCCATAACGAAGCATATGCCTTTATCGAATCGCCCTTTTTTTTGTCTTTCATTCCACTTTGCGTCATATAGACGGATTAAAAGTGATTTTCTCAAAATATATCATATTACTCAAAGAGAGCAGCGATTCGAAAACCCTTTGGTCAATCAAAAATAACTTCGCAAACCTCCGAGCAGTGTGACTGTACAACTAAGTTAGTGCTGTGCGCAATGAAGAATGTGCAGTATTTACAGATTTGTATTCTTCAATAGGTATCACAAAATATCGTTATTCAATTAATACCAACCCATGTAGACCATATGGAGTGTCCTCGATTCTCTCGACCGCATTAAATTCCTGCAAGTTTGCTAAATCAGATTCCTTCTCCTGTAAGAGATTCGAGAGACATCCTTTCCATGCTGAACTTAGGAGGAAAACACCACACGCCACATTGATCCAGTTCTTCATATCTCACTATCAAAAGTTACAGTCTAATCAAGCCGTTAATTCTGCCAAAAGTAGCGCTTCGTCGTAAGTTGATCAGCTCTACCTCACTACCTCATCAATATACATACAAGTGCCCACTTTTCTGATAAAGATCCTTAAGCATTCGTCATTGAACGCCACCTCAGTATTGATCAGTTTTCTCTATGTATAAGATTATCTGCTAGTAGAGATTCTATTCTTTCTCCCGCATTATTTTGGAATAATTAAAGAAAGTTCCTTTTGTCCCAACCTCTGAATAAAGAAGAAAGCTGTCGTTTCCGTTCAGGAGTTTCTATTAACTTTAAGTGCATGTTACGGTTATTTTGGGTACATATATTAATTTCATGATAATCGAATATTATATGTTCCTATCTCTAGAATCTATATTTATCTCGTGTTAGATCGAGACTTATCATCAACACGTCTTTACCAATTTGCAGGCTTAAAGCTTTAAATCATAGTAGTGACGATGGATTTAGACGGTAGTCTTCATCAGCATATTAGCCAGATTTTTCTTCAATCACCATATCGAAATATCAAAAATAATAATAATAATAAAATAAAGAAAAACACGATACGTGTTAAGTATCATTGGGCAAAAAGCTAATTTCGTGCATAAAGAAAATCAGCTTTTGTAGGAAACAATGCTATCAGACCAATATTGTTGAACTAATCATTCCCTCTGCCGTTCTTTTCATTTCTGTTGATAAATATTGATCAGAAAATCGTTATCTCTAATAGTTACTTATCTGGGATAAGAAATCCATTTTTCACAGGTGATTTTTTTTTTTAACTTATAGCGAATGCTATGAAATATGGAAGGCTAATTATCTCTCTAAAAGCGACAAGGAGAGATTCTGAAAATAATTCTTTTCCAGCAGCTGCAATAGAAACGCTACTTTTTACTAAGAGTCTCAATGAGGTCAAGCGTCAATTAATTGTCAGATAACGTCACTGATGTGAAGACCAGCTGGAAAGCATACCATCAATTAGTAAAGGAACAGAGAGATAGGTCCAGCGATTGCTAATCTGCATGCACATATTATCACTGGATATCATCGACCGTGAAAATTCCGTTATTACAGTTGACTCATTGACTCTTTTATTCAAAGGAGTTATTCACACCAGTCCCTTGCAAAGCGTGTATAAGATCTGACTCCCTAATGTATTCATATCACTTTCATGTTGCTAGAGTTCTCTAGCCCAGATTCTTAGTGCTCGCAACTTCCTTTCACGCTCATTCCCTCCATCCTTTAGGCCGCGTTCTCTTCTTTTTCTTTCGGTTTTTATTTTCCCTCTCTCACCCATACCCCATTTTCTATTTCACATTTAAGTCTCTTTGAACGCGGTTGCCATTTTCCTCCAAATCTTATACGAGCATGAAAGGGACCTGACTGAATAGTTAGCTATTCAAGTTGTAGATCGAGAGCAAGTCGAAAACACTCGTCATTGTACGCTAGAGGAAACACAGCCTCTTCATTCCCAAATTTCATTCCCAAACATCTATAGGAGACTTTAAAAAATTCCCAGTTATTACGCAATTATTACGCTATTGTTTTACTAACATTTTGAATTATACCCCCTCCCTGACATAGAATCTTCATAAAATAACACATTTATTATACATTTTTTGAATTTCTTTTTTTTTATTCATATAACGTCAGAGACGCCCTTACTTAATTACAGTTTTTTTTAACTGAAGAAGGTTGTCGCAGCAGCTGAAACGTCCTGTGATAGGTTTGTAAACCAGTAACAAAATACTTTTAATCATGGATCCAGATTGTTTCAGATTTCGAAAAAGGAGAAACTTTTTGTGCTTTTACCTACTAAGATTTCCTATCAACCAGCTTCCCCCTTTAACCATGATTAAACTAAGAAACGGAAATGTCCTTACGTTACGTTTTAAGAAAGCGGTGCTGCAGATTTATCAGCGTCCACCTCGACGGCGTCCAAAGAACCCTCGAAACCGAAAGCCTCCACGACGGGATCGACGTCGGCGACGGAAGCGGCGGAAGATTTTCCGAAATCGAATAAATGGATCTGATGACTTCTTTAGTGGATTACTCAAAGGATTGTTATTCTCTCTTTCATCTCCTTCGTCATCATTGTCATTGTCATCGTCATCGTCATCTTCTTCGTCGTCTTCATCTTCTTTTCCATCTGGAAAATATTTTTCGTCATCCCAATCCAGGTCACTGTAACATACAATAATGGTAATAAAAAAGAACAGCATGTTTTTAATCAAACTGTTAGGAAATGTACGACTTAATAAAGCCAAACGCACGACTGCAGTAGTTAACATTGTATATGGCTACTACCATGCCAAGTCCCACGCCTTATGTTTTTGTATTACAGAATAATAGATAATAGAAAAGACATCGTTTTATAGCTTAATCAGTTTTCATCGTACCTTTTTGCGTTTTCGGCTGTCAAATCATTTGGCACCTCATTCATCTCGTCATCGATTGTTTGATCTTCGTCGTCACTGTAAGGCAGGGCTAGGCCTATGGCCAACACGAAGCCAACGAATGCTAACAAGACGAGTCCATTCATCGCAACGTCTTCTTCGTTTCTGGGTGACAAGCAAAACCTACTAGTTCAATTCATACCTTTGGAAACGAAATCTGAGGTAGGACGTGATATGATGACGAGATGTCAAATGAACAATGTTATCATGTTACTGGCTAAACAGCCAAAGTTTTCTAAATAAGCACTCCATGTTTCTATTTGAATTCGCGTGTTTTCCATGACCCTTCAAATATGATCACTGATATCAGAATCGCCACTTTAAAATAAATGACTTATATGTCTTACTCCAAACCTACGACGATGAAATTTTCTTCGTTAACTACCTCGTCTTTAGCCATTTCATGCTATCTATTTTGTGGATTAATTAAGAATGAAAGAAGTAGCCATCTACTTCTTCATCTACTTCTAGAGGTAGCCTAGAAGTAGTATCGATTGACTCTAGATGTCGTAAGTGGTCTTTTTAGCTTATTGATCTATTTAATTCTCAACAACTCGAACATTGAGAGTCTAAGTGGTTTCCGAGGATCAAGAAGAGATCTAAGTGGGTTTTTTTTCATGAGAAAAAAAGTATTTACGTATACTTATATTAGACAGTAGAATGCAATACAAAGCTTCTTAAAGTTTGACCTTAATTGGTTCGCGGAATTAGCAGTTTTTCCTTGAGTTCGCACCATGCAAGGGAATAATAAAAGAGCTTGGAGCGCACAATATCAGTTTCAATCCAATCGAATGGAAAGAGGTTTTGGAATTTATATTAAAATATTCAGTTCAGAACACATGCATGTATTAGTTTCTAACCACTGTAAGTAAATGAGGATGTCCAAGATGGAACTAAAGGCCTTGTTGTGCTTAAAAAAAGAAAATGATCATTCGATCTAGACTAAAATTTTCAAGGTGCTATTACAGTATGTAAGATGCATGGCTGGTAACTACAACGTGCTGTGGACATGCCTTCAATGTAAAATTCTAAATATACACTTGGAATGTAACGATCGTGAGGTCAAGTAATTTCCATTATATTCGTTTTCCTTTTTCGAGAGGATCTCTCGATTAGCGTTTTTTTTTTTTGTTTTTTTTTTAAAGAAAATTAAAACAGCTCGATGCAGCTCTTAACTTAAAGTAGTCCAATTGGTTTTTCTTCACTCGATCACTTACATGCGTTATTGTGTGCGTTATCTCAGATTGTTAACTTTAAGCTTCACAACTTGACTAAATGTGTCATCGTTTGCGCCCGTCTGAATCAATAGGTCAGCTTGTATATTGGCTACTCAACAGAAGGAAAAGAGAATCAAATTCTTCTTAAATGTTTAGAGCGTGAAACTGTTGAAACTTAGCAGAAAAACAAAAAACAAAAAAAAAACATAAAAATGTACGGTAATTTCCCTGAAATAAAACTGTCAATAGATTTTTGTTCAAACTTTGTCCACTGAATATTTATCATATGAGAACTTAAATTATAAAATAAAAAGGGGTGCTTGTGCTCGTTAAGGAGCAGTGGGGCATTGAAAATGTCCCATTTTGGCATTATCTAATGCTTATTGCAAGAACGCATTCCAAGTTATTGTGAAATCTTTGCGAGCCCAGACTCATGAAAACACGCCTCAAACGAAAGTCGATACTTTTGTCGGATGCAAATAAACCCTTTAAGTTTGATTTTGACAGACAGCTGAACCCTTGTTAAAATATTGGAACCAAATCGCTTGCCACGGCTATCAAACAGCGAAATGGAAAAGACTACAGTGCAGCTGCTATTTTCCTAATTTCTTCGATTTTCAGCAATAAAAATCAGATCAGTCTTTTCTCACGCAAAGCTAATGATTAGTTGATTAAAACGACAGGAAAAAAAATTGGGGTGCCCGAGCGCGTTAGTGAGCTATAGCCATTTTTTAACTGACAGAAATCAATATCAAGGCAAATCCGCTATGTTTTCAATGTGCGCGTGCACGAGCGTACCCTAGTGACGCCATAAATTATGCGCAGTAAGGATTCGCAATGCAAATGTGAGGAATCACCTTAAGCTTCTGTCGCTTCTATCTTCGTTCTTGGTTTTAGCTTCATAGCAGCCGTTGACATGAAATAAAATAAATAAAACAAGTAGTCTAGTTTTATACGCGGGTTGATCATCACCGACTTCACGGTTTGAAGTTAGGTACTAACAACAATACGAGTGTTGTGGAGGAAAAAAACAAAGCGGTATTCCATCAACGGAGTTAATTCAAGGGTCAGGACTATTTTTCTCTCTTTTCATCGGATTTGAAGAGCTTACCAGTCAGCTGGACAACAGGATAAAGTTTCTTCGAGAGGAATTGACTATCGCTATAAATATATTTAATTTAGTCTTTTTGCTTATTACAGAGCAATAACATTTGTCTGTATGTTTTTATTTATGTGACTAATCCCCGAACCTCCATATCATGAAGTAACGTCAAAAGCCACGCACATTTATTTGTAACATAAATGATTCCTAAGCGCTCACATGTGATTAAGAGAAAGTGATCACTGGTAAAAAAGGAAAATGTACTATCGTGGAAGAGAGTTCATCAATCTGCTAATATGATTGTTTATTTTTGACAGACCTAGCAACGGGGCTGACAGATCTAGCAAAGAATTCAGCCTTCACACGCATATTCACGAGAATCCTTCGGAAACCTTTCAATACACGAATTTCTGTTCGTGACACTCCCCAGAAGCCTTGAGGCCTCTTAGATAA